GCGGCTGAAACGCACCAAGCCTGAAGCTTAGGTAAGCAATTGGACAGCCTTTTTAGGCTTACTGATCAAATTGGACCAAGCCTGCTGCTTGGGTCCTTGGTGCATGGGCTTCAAGCTCTCTGTCCGATCTATAAGCCAACAAACGTGGTGGGCTTCTCACGCCTCGGCCCATCGCCAGTAGCCTTTGTGCTGCTGGGCCTCGTTGCTTTCAACTTCTTGTTTGTACTTTAGGCTGCGTAACAGCTTTTCCCAAGCCTGACCCGTGCAATTGCAATTGCAGCCCACTTCTTGAATGGGTTGTCCCGTGTAGCCTGACCTATGTCTCTTTTCCTTGGCCCACTTCCTGCTGCAATTGCAGTTTGCCTTCTTGAATGCGCTGCCCCGTGCAACCTGACTTGAGCCCAAAGGAATGCAACTTTTGCTGCAGGGCCATGCCTTACACAACCAGCTCACACGTGATGGGCTGTGCCATTTTAGTTTTTTTTTTTTTTTTTTTTTTTTTTTTTTTTTTTCCGACCTGATACCATATTTTGGCACCTCGTACTTCTTAACCATACCCAAATAATTTTGGTTAACACTAATTAAGCTATAATTCACTTCTCACTTGGCCCACCGCCAATTGAAGCTAATAAGACTCGAATGTCATTATTTTTGCTTCTATGATCAACCCCGAATAGTCCCGATCTATTGAATTAATTAAAAGTGACCAGCAATCCATTAATTTGACAAGAAATCCAAAATTATTAACCTGAAGATCACTTTTGGACATAACGATTCAATATTTTATTTCTTTTCTTTGAACCATTAACATCCTTTTATAGTCCCCAAGCACTCACACTTAAGTTCCCGAAGAACCTCAAATCCACTACACTTAAATTAGCATATTGCATTATGCGTTCTTGCAGGAACCTCTCTTTTCTGAACTAAACATTCATAAACTAAATTGAACTTGTAGATTCAAATTTAGTGCCCTTAAAACTCGAAGTTTTCATAAAACAATACACCCATAAAAACACGACGTTTTTCATGAAAACCATGTCATAGAACTCGAATGTTCTAACTTTGATACTTATGGATGATTCATTCCCATAGCACCAATTACAATCTTGTTCCCTCCAATTCAATGGATTTTTGAACCGTCACAAGTTCGATTTCCTGATTTGGACGTTTCTTATAGAAACCACTTATGTGAGGTATAAGACGTGAATCTCCACTTGACTATCAAGAAGCTGAGAAACCATTGAAGCCAACAATGGCATGGAATAGTTGAATAAGCCTCCGTCATGATCTTCATTCGAAGACTTATGCCCTAAGCATTACAAATGGAAATACCTCCCGATCGATGATTCTATGGCTCTTTGGCTCACTCATACGGATTGTCTAATCATGAAAGGTATTGCCTAAAGTACACCATGATTACGTCCATGAATGAGTATGATTCTGAAACTTATAAATCTGATCGAATTTTGACTAAGAGAATACTTTTCTTGTCCTTCCATGTTTCTAACTCGCTTATGAACCAGCAATGTAAAAAGCAGAAGTTTACCGAATTCTTGAATCTGATTATTACCACAAACGTAAGAGAAAGGTATAAATCTATACCCAGTTCGGCTAGAGCCTACCAAACCCAATTTGGGTCTATCTCTCTCACAATCCAATTTCGAGTTTATTTTTACAACATATGGTAGAATCAGGGCTTGCCAAGGTGCGGCATCATGCCCGAAGCATGATCCTTGGCACCTAAGACCTAAAACTTCAAGAATAAATAATATTCCTGAACCTTAACCCTGCAGAATCCATTTTCATCTCAATATAATAGATCATTGATTATGCACCTATTCGTGCCCCTACCAATGTTATTAAGAAGTACCATTCTAGTAGTCAATATATGAGACTAATTTTGCTCCACCAACCATCCTTGAAAGAGCATAATTTTGACATGAATGACCTTGTTGGCCGAATCCCTTCAGTAAACCATTTACTTTGTGAGCATTTTTCCATGTTCTTGGATTCAAGTTTGGTGTATGTTTTAGTTATGGATAATCTTATTGATATTGTCCTCGAATATGAGTTAATTGAATCATGTTTCTTAATACAGGTAACCGATAAATACTTATGGTTTTGGTTGATAAATCGACAAATTGGTCACATGTTTATCCACACACATCGTTGCTAAACCTCCCGACAGATTATGGGCTTACCACCATACTTATCCCTTAAAGTCCGGGAGACTGGATAATGTCGGAGAGTTTATATCGATGATTTTCAATAAAGCATTGCATGTATTTTGGGTTTATAATTGAACATAGAGATCTTAATGTACTATTTTTCCCTACGATTAGGAGCATTTTTCCCACTGGGTTTTTGCTACCTAACTAGGGTTTGATGAGGCACCCATCCTAGGCTGATCATACCCTTGTGAGCTATTCTACTTTTGTCCAAAAGACGTATAGTTTTGACTTAATGCAACTTCTCACTTTTCTCCTTAGATTATGAGTTCTTCCACCATCTTGGGTTTTACTATAGTGAGGTTTTGTGAGTTTTAAATTTTATATGAATTCTTCCGTTGATCTTAGACTCACATTCTCTCATTGTCCCGACGACTTCATCAACTGTACTTACTTCATCGTTGAAGACCTGATGCGCCATTTACTTGAGTATTTACACACTCAAGGAGGAGTGTAGTAGTACTATTAGATTAAGAATGTGATTGTGTAAATCCTAGTAGATCTAGGAAATCTCTTATATTACTATTATGAGTTGATTACCTATTAAGAGTTGTAATCCTAAAAAGGTAAGGATTTTACCTATTCTACTACTAAAATAAAGACACAATGGGGTGGAATAGAACCAACCCACAATTACACAATTACACATCTCTCCTTCTCTCTCTATGCCGCACCTTCCCTCTCTCTATTTGGCCTCCATAATTGTTCAGTAAATTATGCCTATAACAGTTAAGATATTTATAATGCAAATTTATAATAATTCTGTGAACTAGATTTTTTTCAATTTATTATTTTGGAATTTGGAGGACGTGGATATTGGGGGTAGAGCACATAATGTTAACGCTAATGCTAGTGCTAGAAAAATTTCCCAACTTTCCAAGATTACCATTAACCATGGCAATTGTTCACCTTGTCCTTGCTATGATCATGAAATTGGGAGTATGTGTTGTGACCAAATTTGGATTATAATTTATGAAATTGAGATTATAATTCATCCCCAATTCATCGATCATTAGTTTAGTTTGAACCCATTTTGTTGTAAATAATTACGTAGGCATTCAATATATAAAATCTAACAAATAAGAAACAAGTAAAGCTTTATTATTAAGGGGAAAATCCAAAGATTATTATTTCATTAATTTCATAAATCTTCCATTACAACGGAAGAAATGAGATAAGTGACGGTAATTACAGCAGCGGATCATCCATCCTTCGCCGGTCTAAACCTTAACCGCATCCCCCGTCAACTGCATGCAAATTAACAAAAGGAGTAATTAGGTTTTCATCCTTATTTTTACTACTCTATTGATTAAAACCTTATTACTTTTCAATTTTTGATCAAGGTCCTTTGTATTAATAATATCATTAATTATTTCAATAATAAAATATTTTTTATTTCTAAATATATTCATTTAATATTAAAAATGTTACAATTAGTATATTTATACTTATGGCTAAATTTTTATCATATATTTTTATTTTTAGTTTGTACCCATTTTTAATTTGCAACCCTTTTTTAATTTGTACCAATTTTCCTTTCAGTTTTAATTTGTACCCATATATTAAATTCTTTTTGTGCCCATATTTTTTAAAGTTTTATTTGTATTGTACCCATATTTTTTTATTTATTTGTACCCATTTTTATTTTTGCTAAATGTACCCATTTTGAAGAATGTACCCATGTTTTGATACAATAATTTTTTGGTTATTTTTATGAATGTACCCATGTTTACACACACACACACACACACACAATGGTATATTTATATTTTAATATTTTTAATCCCAAAAATTATGGTTTTTTATTTAAAATCTCATTACTATAAACAACTATAAATTTTAATTTTTAATTTAAAAAATATAGTAACGTACATAGAAATAAATTATCAATTAATTTCAGGGACTTGGATCAAAAATTGAAAACCAATAAGGTTTCAGTCAAAGATTATTCATAACTAGGGACCGCATCCAAAGTCTCTCTTAACAAAACATGCATGAGTAATTAGTACTGATGATATCATGTCATTCTATATTAATCAAATTAATTACGTGATCTAACTAATTAAAGTATATAATTACATGGGTTTTGATAGACAACAAGACCACTGCCCATTAAATAACAGGCATTGTGCTCCTGCTGATTGGCCTGGTAGTATATGTTCATGACCACTGAGGCATGTGAGCATTTGTGATCAGGGTAATAGCTGATAAACCTAGTTCACACAAAACTCCAAACCCTAAAGAAAGGTCCACGACAGCAAGGTCCACAACAGCACCACCAATTCAACCTCAACCTTCCAGCTGCAATCCACTTGCTGCACAACCTGACAGAAGACTGCACAACCTGACAGAAGGAATACTTAGCTGCACAACCTGACAGAAGGAATACTTCACATGGTTTCTGCCACCTGTATTATTTATTGCATGCGTGTATTAAACTTGTATATAAACCATGCTGTCAGTACAGCAAGGGTTAAGGACAGTATTATTGTTTATTGCATGCTTGTAAACTTGTATATAAACCATGCTGCCATTGCAGCAGGTATTGAAGTAAGAGAGCTTGATTATTCATCAGCAAAGACGATATTCATCATGGTATCACAGAGCTAACAGTCTAACGACCAAAAGCTTTAATTTTTTTTTTCTCTTCTCTCTCTCATGGCGTCCAGTTTAAATCCCTCAACTCCCGTTGCTATTCCCTTTCTTCCAAATGCTTCCAACTTTCTGACTATAAAGTTGGATCGTACCAACTATCCCCTATGGCATGCCCAGATGTTGCCCTTGCTTCGAAGCAGGAATCTGGTGTCCTTTGTTGATGGAACCAACCAATGTCCTCCTGCCTTCTTGCAGAATGATGCTGGCCAACTCACTGATAAAGTCAATCCTGACTTTGATGCATGGATTCAACACGATGCTATGGTCCTCTCTTGGATCAACAGTTCGGTTCATCCCACCGTTCTTGCCTCTCTTATTAATAAGACAAGTTCTCATTCTGCATGGACTTGTTTACGAGACAGGTATGCTTCTCAGTCTACTGGTCGTCTCCTCCAATTGCGTAGTGAGCTTATGAATACCCATCGTGGTGATTCCTCTATTGCTGAGTTTCTTGATCGTATTAATGGTCTTGCTGACACTCTCTCCCTCTCTGGTTCTCCTGTGACTGACTCTGATCTTGTTGCCATTATTTTAAATAATGTTGGGCCTGCTTATGAGAGTACTGTTGCTTCTGCACAAGCAAGGGATGAGGCCATCACTTACAGTGCCTTGGAGGCTCTTCTTCTTGGTGCAGAGAGACGTCAAAAGCTTCATACTGTGTTTGAAAATGGGCCCACTGCCCTTGCTGCTGGACGGGGTAGTTCAGGACCTTCTCGTGGTCGCGGTGCTTTTCGAGGAGGCCGTGGTCACTTCAATGGCGGCCATGGCCAGTTTCCTCCTCGTCCACAAGGCCAAGAACACCATGCTCCTCCACCCTGACAAACCCATTATGGCATTCTTGGTGCTCCTCCTTCTTCAACCCAATCTGGTGGCCGTATCCAATGCCAAATATGTCGTCGTCACGGCCATTCTGCCATCGATTGTTTCAATCGCCTCAATATGGCCTATGAAGGACGTGTTGCTGCTCCACGTCTCCAAGCTTATGCTGCTGCTGCACCGTCTCCGGCGTCTGCTTCTCCCTCTAGCATTCAAAACTGGCTTTTTGACTCTGGAGCCAATGCACATATCACTCATGATTTGAATCAGGTTTCGAATCCTCGTCCTTACAATGGCACTGACAATGTTAATGGTGTGGTGGATGGATCAGGTTTGCACATTTCTCATGTTGGCACTTCTATTATTCACACACCCAATCACTCCTTTACCCTTCCCAACACCCTTCACTGCCCTAATGCTTCTACTAATGTTATTTCCATCAATCAATTTACCAAAGACAATCATTGTTCACTGACCTTATATCCCAATTCCTACCGTGTTCAGGACCTTCAAACGGGGAAGATGCTTTTGCAAGGCCGGAGTAAAAATGGTTTTTATCCATTTTCAAGTTCTTCTGTGGTCAACAATGGAGTCTCTGCATTTGTCGGTGTTAGAGTGTCGGATGCTACTTGGCATTCTAGGTTGGGTCATCCTGCAATTTATGTTTTACGTACAGCAGAATTGTATGTTAGCATCGAGCATTTGGTCGCCGGTAGTAAGCTTAGCAATGCACCAAGTGTTGGTGTTCCTCTTGGTCAGCTGCATGCCACATAATTAATTACATATTAGCAAAATAAAAATCAATCAACAAGAATGCTCAATATTCACGTAATGAGTGCACGTACCGTTTGTGCCATGGATAAGAGTCGAGGGTTCAGGCTCATTGTTCATGTCATGCTTAAGACTTGGAGTCACGGGCTCATTGTTTGTGCTATAGATGTGATTTGAATGCTCAATAGGCTCTGCAAAACAGTCTCAATCAGTTGTTCTGGTCTTGATCATGAGATTCTTAATTAAATATAATCGAGAATATATCTACTTGTGTTTGTATCTTTTGTTCACGTAATGAGTGCACCTGATGAGAGATCAAGTGCAAGAGATGTACTAGACACAAAAGATATATCCTTCCATGCATAATATGAACAGGGAAACTGTTGTGTTTGGCTCATACATTTGTGAGTAATTATGAGTCATGTGTTGACAACAATTGAAGATATGGTGACTATCACAATCCAAATGCCTTTCGGCTTGTAAAGTAAACAAAGAAGTGGACATCATCATGTAAAGACATAATCATGAGTAAAGACATCATCATTGTAAGAAAAGAGAAAAGGTGGTGCATTTTCTTTAATGATTATTCAAGACATCATGATGTTGGGAATAAAATATGAGTGTGAGTGACCTTATATTGAGAGTGCATTCGGATGAGAACGGGTGGTAGAAAAATATAGAGTGAGAGTGAGAAACTCTTGGGGAGAGTGAGTCTCTTAGTAAAATTCTGTGAGGGTACAAAGGGATTGGGGTTTGGGTTATGTCGATTTAACTCAAGTGTATCTTGTACTAGTTATTCTCATAGTGAAGAGGAACATCTCTCGGAGGACGTAGGCAGGTTTTTTGCCGAACCTCGTATATTTCTCGGTGTCTTTATTTCTTGTATTTTATTCTGTTCAACTGAGTGTGATTTGGTGAGGTTGTAATCTGAATCTCGTTTCCGCACTGATAAATGAGCCAAGGCACAACAATTGGTATCAGAGCTTTGTTGGAAGCTTTGGTTCATTGACGGTTCAGATTTGTTATTCACCATGATGACTACAAACTTGTCATTTTCAATTGAGAAGTTTAATGGGAAAGGTAGTTTTACTCTCTGGCAGATGAGAGTAAAGGATGTCTTGACTCAACAAGGCTTGGCTAGAGCTTTGAAGGGAAAAGATGGGAAGCCTAAAGAAATGACAGATGACCAGTGGGAGGAGTTGGAGTCGCGTTGTGTTAGCACAATTCGACACTGTATAGCTGACAACATTATCAATAATGTTATGGATGAAGATTCTGCGCCTGCACTCTGGGAGAAGTTGGAAAAACTCTATATTGCTAAGAGTTTGACCAACAAGTTACATCTGAAGCGGAAGTTGTACAAGCTAAAGATGGATGAAGGCGGGAATCTCATGGACCACATGAATGAGTTCAACGGATACTTTGATCAATTGCGAAAAGTTGATGTTAAGGTTGAGGAAGAAGACAAAGCCCTCTTACTTCTTACCTCACTTCCAGATTCGTATGAAAATCTTGTGACAACCTTACTGCATGGAAAAGATACAGTAAGTTTGGAGCAGGTGCAGGATTCTTTGGTGTCTTATGATACACGAAAGAAGAAGACCATTGTTGATGGTGGGCACGAGACTGCTTTAGCTGTTCAAGGTTGGAATCGTGGAAGAAAATTGGGAGAAGGATCTGAGAGAGACAACAGGTTCAAATCCGGTTTCGGAGGCAAGGGTCTACAATGCTACAACTGCAAAGAATTCGGGCATAAAAGGAAAAATTGTCCTTTGAGAAAAAGAAAGGATGATCTTGGTCCGGGTTGTAGCAATTTTGTGGCGGAAGACTTCGAGTATGCCCTCTAGGTACTCGAAGCAACACTTCTCCTGGTGATGTATAGTTTAAAGTGTTGCAGGGGTTTTGCAGCAGGTGGAGCTATAGGATTCACAGGTGATCAGATGGTCCTGAGGAAAGCAAGTGTGGGAATTTTGTCTGGCTCGACGGGTGTTGCTGGAAACGGGCGCGCTGACGAGTTTCCAGGTTGCAGACAATGAAGAGGAGAAAAACCTGCTGGAGGAGACGATGATGTGTTGAGATCTTGTCTGAAGCTAAATTGTGATTTTTAGCTTGCAGCAGCTGCACATGCATTGGCAGTAACTGTTTGGGTTAAAACTGAACTTTAGGCCCAAAGGTGGAGTCGGCCCAACAGAAGGTCCGGATGAAATCTAGGGAGCAGGAAAAGGGCCATTTGCTTACCTACCCAAGGACCAAGTGGTGTAGACTGATCAGATTGCACAGCCCATAAAGTACTTTATGGTGGCATTACATGTAATAAAGCTGATGAGTCATCACCCTTAGACCACATTCGGGCAAAGCTGTCGCTACAGGAGCCAAACCGAGTTGTCTATAAAAGGAGGAAGAGAAGACAGGATTAAGGACACTCAAACAAACAAACAAAAGCACAAACTCTGCTCAAAAAGCCAGATTTGCCTTTCATAACGAAGCTGTAGTCAGCCCAAGCCTTCATCCCCCTCAGGATAATCTTTTCTCCTAAACGTTGTAATAGCTATGCTACCTTGTTCTAACTTGTTGTAGTATCGATTCACCCTTTTGTATTCTCCTTTCCCCTCTCCACCTCTAAGCTTTCAGACCTTTGACAGAACCACAAAGACAGGGACCTGCAAGACGATCAGCCTTAATTGATAAGGTTTAATCTTGCCCGACCTGCTTTGCTCTGTCTTTGTCTTCTCTTTCTTTAAAGTCTAGCAATATGTTGTATATTTTTAGTTATATGCAAGTTGTTTCTAGCAAAATCACGATGACAAAGCTTTCTCAATACTTGGATCCAATTTAAATATATCTTCAATGCTTAAATCAGATATAAGTCCTAAGCCCGCAGGCTATGAATCTGATTAGTTTAAAAGTCCTTGGCCTCAAGGCATAAAAAAGAACTTTATGTGGACTTAACCCATCCACGACAATCCTTGATAAATGAGAAGTCCGAAGTTACTTGGGGCGCAAGTAATCGACCTACCTTCTAGTTTTCTTTCTATTATATCATGATTATCATAGAACGCTTAAGAATGGGATGGACTCTAATGGGAAGCCTCAAGGCTTACACCTAAGGCCCCACAAAGGCATCCATTTGGATTCATCCCATTCAGCGATCTCAAGAGTCTAAGTAAAGAATGAACTCTGATGGGAAGCTTCAAGGCCTACACCTAAGGCCCCACAAAGGCACCCATTTGGGTTCGTTCTATTCCTTGGATTCGGGTAATCAGAAATATAATAGTTAGAAAACTCCTACAATCACGAGAATAAATATGATGCGTTCGAGCACTGGTTTAGTTATTGATGGGAAGCCTCAAGGCCTACAGTTAAGGCCCCACAAAGGCACCTATTATAACTAACACGGTTTCTTGGATACATACATATATACAATGAAAGAACGATAACCATTTTACATCTGCCATGCTAAAAATGGCAGTGGCACGCCTGAGCACCTAAATGTTAACCTTGATTGTGAGCCTCAAGGCCTATACCTAAGGCCCCACAAAGGCACCTCTCAAAGTTAACGTTGTTCTTCTCTTTCAACCTTGCCCGAAGAGCCTTGCCCGACGAGACTTGCCCGACGAGACTTGCCCGACAACGCCCAGAAACGAAGCAGAAGCCCGACAACAGCCCTCAACCGGCGCCAACCTCCAGGGGAGCTGTGTGCTCGTCAGCCAGGAAACATCCCCAAAGGAAATTCCTGCCACGAACATAGTTTTGGCATGCCCAGTGGGACCCAAACTTCCAGATCTTGCATGTCCAAAAGAAGAACCATAAACTTGATAAAAAGAATCCAAAGGAAGGTATTCTCCAAATGGCAGAACAATCAGAAAATCCTTCTTCCCCATCTGGACAGGTGGTTCCAGATAGCCCGACTGCATCTGAAAGGTCACAAGGAAAGGGAAGCAATGAAGAGCTACAAGCTACAATGATCCAAGTGTTAAAAAGCATGGAAAGGATCTCCCTAGAAACAAAGGGAGAAGTAAGCAGACTCTGTATGCTCACAGGGAATCTACAGAGAAGGCTTGATTTGGAGTTCTCTACTCCAAAGGGTGCTCAAGGAAGTGGAATGAGCCAGGTTGTCACGAGAGATGAGCCAATCATTCCCTTATTCCCACTACTAGAAGAAACAGGAGATAGGGGAAAGAAAAAGGTAATTCCTGAAGAAAGTCAACCAGTGATGGAGCTGATCCCGGAGA